GTCTTCTTTTGATTCCAGCATGTGTGAGGACGCAGGACTCAACTACTATGCATTCACGCTATGTTCTTAGGCTGCACCGTGCACTGCTTTTGTAATGCAAATGGAAGGCACAAAGTGTCTCTTTGATAATGTGCAGTCAGAAGACAAAAAAGCATTCACTGAAACAGTAAAACTAATTCATAAAGTCGAAAGACAATAGGGAAGCATTATGGATTTTTTTTAAAGGAGAAAGTATCCTAGATCAATATAATTGTCACAATGTGAGCTATTCATAGTCTATGCGGAAAGGGGAGAGGACTGCAAATGTATTTATAGTGGGAGAAGTTTTTGTTGGCAAAAGAAAAAGTTAGAAAAATATCATAAGTACATTTGGGTATATGGTGAGCAAGTTTCTGCTTTATCATATTAAAGGTCAAATATATAGCTGGTTATTCTCACTCAGATCTGCAATATTCCTTTTAGTGATAAAAACGCAGAAGTTTTAAAAGCAAACAGGAATGTAATGGTTAAAAGCCATATACTAGATTTTTTTTCTTTCTCGCTCTTTAGAGGGAGTATCTCTCCATCACATACCAGAGTTTAGCTCAAGGTCAACATATATTAATGCATTAAACTTGGCTGTGGAGGAGGCACAGGGCTGGAGGAAAGAGGATGAAAGAAGTTCCAAAATTGTTCTTCCAACATATTCAGCCAAGCAACAGAACATTATCTTGATAAGGGTTATATTGGACAGTTGCCATAATTTCTCCTTTTGGATCAGCTTCTCCAGTACCTATTCCCATACCTTTTAAAGTATAGCATGTGACATTTTGCTTGAAAATTGCTTCCACCTCTATTGCTTTGTTATAGCTGTTTTGCAGTTTCGGTGTACAGGCAGTTCTGTGTCACAAGAAATTACTAATCTGAAGCTTGAGAAGGGGCAGCGTAGCCATCCATTATCTCGGCCGCAAGCTCTGTACAGGATTATTTTCAAATTTTCTGCTGCCATTACAATGTGCTGTTAGAGTGGGCAAAGAGGTGAGGGAGGGAATGTTATTGAAACTTGGTTACCAGAGTTGATAAGATAAAGTGCATCACTGTCTTGGCACCCACATTTGCAGTCAGGGGTGGAAGGAACATTTGATGAAAGAAGTCCATTTGGTCAAGAATATCATTAAGATATAAGACTGGACAGTTTCCATTCGTGTTTACAGAAGGGTTTCTCTTTTCCCGTTGATGCTCATTTGGAAAAGTCTGCTTGGTTGTTTAAAGAAATGTTTTCTACCAGTGTGCTGTAAACGTTTAAATACCAGATAATCAACATCACCACCCACCTCACCTCACCCCACCCCCGCCACCCACCCAGCCTCAAGATGTAAAATTGGAATCAGCAAAGCTAACTTTCTTTAGAAAGTTGCCATTTTCTTTCTGTCACTTTCTATTCCTTGCCACTGTTAAAATGACAGTTCAGACTGAACTTTTACATAAGCTATTTTTAGACTTTTTTTTCAGACATCCTTTAACTATTTCTGTTACAGGGCACACACTCTAGGGAATCATTTTCTCTCTTTGATGGGGTTATTAAGCAATCGGTGTTATACGGGGGGCCATCATTAGAAGTCGGATTGCATCTAGAAACACAAGAAGAGGAGAGTGGCAGTTGGTTTTTATTTCAGTCTAAGATTCCTACCTTCTAGGGGAAGTCAGTGTGTTGATTACCGAAATAATGATGACAGTTTTGTAAGTTATTCCTTTTTGCTGAGGCTCCACTGTCCACAAACCACTTATTTCCCTTTGAACCCAGCATCTCTCTTCTACCAAGCAAAGCATGCGGATTTGATGCTGGAGGGGAGGGTCAGCTTTACCCATACATAATCACTGTTTTATGGCCTTCATTCATTCCTGAGGTGTTAATGCAGATCAAATGGGAAACACTCCAGAAAGAACCCTTGCAGCTACTGCTCTGCCTAGCTCTCCCATCTCAATCGTTAATTCTTATTGTAAGATCTAAAGGTAATTTTGTTTGCTCTCTTAATGTGATGCAGTTCTCCCAGTGGCCCTAGCATATCCTTTCTCAAATTCCCATCTTGATCAATTGTTTGCAAATAATTAAGCTTTTAAGAGATAATGGCATGAGGCTAATGTACACAACAAAGGAGAGGTCTCTTGTCACTGTCTAGTGGACTGTGGTCAAATTTGCTTTGATATCCCAAAGTGGTTAGGTGGATTGGTGTAGCTGGCATGCGCAATTCGTCTTTCCTTCACAAGAACCTACTGATCTTTCTTAAACTAGTGCCCTGAGTAGATACAATAACAGCAAAAGTATCCAGGAAGATAGCAACAGGAGACTGGGGCCCTACACTGCCATGGTTTGGAAGGAATCCCCTTTCTAACTGGCACTTTTTATTTACCTCCTTTGCAAAATGACCAGCTGCCTTTGCCGGCAGCACCCTCACTAGCCCTGTGGGCATAAAGCAGTAGGACTTCCAGTGTTTTTACAACAGCCTTGTCTGTGGCATGTTGGGTTTTTGTCTTTTTTTTTTTTTTTTT